ACTATAATTATGATATTATAAAGAATGTCCATTCTTTCCTGGATATACGTTTTTTATGTTCCTTTTATTGTAAACTCTACCAATATATTGCCAAATATCTGACTGGCATTGTGGCCATGATTTTTGTTCTACTTTTGATAACAAAAAACATAGCAAGTCTCTATCTTTTGATGATAAATCATAATACGATAGTTGTTCAAAGCATGAGCGATAAAGAAAATTGTATATTGCTCTACAACAATAATATGTAATTATTAACAAATATAGTTACATTATTAGCATTATATTGCATTATTATCATATTATATATGAGTTTACAGTCTATATTATAAATACATTAACAATAGAAGCAAAGAAATAATACATGTACCTGATATTATAACCTTCTGTTTCAGATGGGGATGGATGATCTTCAAATAATTGTATAAACAATAATGCTTCTGGTATGAGACTATCTTCAGGATGATACAATCCACATTTCAACCAGTTGTTTAATAATTCATTTTCACATAAATACTTTGCCATTAATGAATATTCAAAAATTTTAGTTTTAATATCTTGTAAAGGTATGTTTGGCAGCATTTTTGATATAGCTCCAACATTTTCAGACCCATATTTTTTTAGAGCTTCCAGTAATATTCTTTTGTCCTTGTTACTCCACTTCACATTTGATTTAGATTCATAATTACTACTTTTTGTCACATAGTTGTCACTTTTCTGTTGCTCATTCCTTTGTACAACTTTATGCTTCTTGAAAATATCCATTTTTATATTTAATAATAGAAAACAACTTTTTCATTTCTTCTTAATTTTTTCTAATACAATAGATTAAAAATATTATTTAAAAACATGTAGAAAACGTACTGTATTAAGTATGGATGTTTGGGTTCCCGAATTAACGAGAATATTGAACTTCGGGTCGGGTCGAGAAATCTCGGTCGAGTTCGGGGGAGCTTTCGAGAGTATGATACGCATCAAGAACCCGAAAGAATCCTAGGACATATCATACTTATCCAAGCCGCAATAAGCAACTGGCCGGTCTCGAGCGAGTTGCTTATTACGGATCAAAACTGTATTATTAACATAACGGGCACGTACTATATTATAAATAAATGATATATGAATTCAAGAATGAACAAATAATTGCATACATGTGTAGCATATTTTATTATTTAAATATTATTAATTAGAATAATATATGGGTGTAATTCCGAAAGGCCCCGGTCGCCGATCGACACAAAATTTGCAGGAAGGGGGTGGAGGTTGGGTGGATTCCAAATATGAAATATTAGCTGCAACCAATTATTACTTTCCGAGATATTAACAAAAAACTTTCAGTACTATGCATTGAAACTGCCTTTACAGACGTGACTAACCCATTGAATGCTGCCTATACAGATGTTACTAATCAACCATCTTCACTATAATGGTCGTTGCCGTCAAGTGTTGAGTAGCCGATGACACAATAGCGGTAACGGCCTCATTGTCAGTATCTATAAGGTGTCCTACGTAAAATTTCGGCGAAGCGATGATTGTTCTAATATTACCGGCTGCTTAGATATTGGGCGGTATTAGACGCTGTGCTCCAGCACGACTGATCGACAAGATGATTACATACATTATTAGGTTAGGTTAGATTAAAATCCACACTTTCAATGGCTGCTTTATTTAATGAGCCTTATTTGGACGAAATTCGTCAGCCTATAGGTACCGGGCCCATACTCGAGACTTGATGGCTTGATGGCAACGACCACTACATACAGCGAACACGATTGTTCGAACATCTGTATAGGCATTATTCAATGTATGTATTAGTTATTTACGTCTGCTGCATACCAGCCATTCCACGTCCAATCGCACAGAATTGCGGTCATAGTCACCGATTTTTTTCAAACTCACAGGATTTGTTGATACTTTTGAGAAACTAAACAGTGTAAATGTTTAGCTCTCTATCTCGAACGGGTTTCAAACTACATATCTAATGTTAAGGTTTTGGAAAATTAGACGAAATCAACAAACATGTCAGCACTTAAACCGTAATATTTCGACTTTGTTTAAAGATAATGCATTCCTCTTAGGTTCGTTTTAAAGATAGAGAAACGTTCCTTTCGAATATGCACATAAAATTTTATTTATTATGAATAAATATAAAAATAATCGCTGCTAAAGTTTCAACTGCTGATTTGATGCTGTTCCCATCCATAGAATCATCTGAAAAAATACCATTAGATTACTTGAACTATACCCTGTAAAATAAGCTTCTCAAAAAGATGGAGTGTTTACGAGACACCGCGATGAGGCACGGACCGTAGCAGTTCGCGCCTACAAGGGTCGTAAATCCTTGACTCGAATTATTCAACACCGCGTTGACTCGAAATTCCTTACCACGATTTCGCGTGAGAAGGATGGTTTAATTGTATGAATGCGTTTTAACAAACAATATATTTGTTCTATTGAGTAGTGTTCTGTTGTGTTTTTGCACGAGTTCGCGATGCAACGCGATCTATTTTACTAAATACGGCGCGTTCATGAAGATCGTAACTCTTCACTCCGATGTTTCGACACCGCGTATCGTACAGTGTTTTTTCCTTACGAACGTTTCCGGAGGTAAGGAATGATACTTTCGATGTGTCTTTTGGTTTTTACTTGTTCTCATGAAGGGTGTATTTTGAACTGTTATTTTGTGGTGGTGCGTGGGTATATATTGGGTCGGTGTATGTTCTGATTGGTTGGACGTTGAAGGTGGTGGAAAAGGTCTCGAAAAATGCGGAGGTGTGATTGGATATTAGGAAACTAGTGGAAGGAGAACGTGAGGGTGAAGGTGGTGGGCAAAAGTTTAAATAATATGGGAAAAACCCGGAAAGGGGAAAGGGATAGGAAACATGACCAGGATGCGACGTGAACTGTTTTATGGTAGGGAAGGAATTTGTTAGGGGCTAGGAAGACGGCGGGAAAGGACTGTTTATTAGTTTATGGCTCATTACTGGCCGGTAATGAGGACAATCGAACAGTTGTGTTGAGTGTCTTGGCGAAAACTCTGTTCTTCACTGCCGTACTAATTTTCGTCGACCTCCGTCGTCACTAATTTTCCGGACCGGGGAAAATCGGGGGTCAGTCTCGTCACCTGATTCGTAATTGGCTAAGCCAATCGAATGATGAATCCCTTGACCTCTACCTATTCCGTGCGCTCGAAACGCAGTCCGTGCGGACTAGACAGTGTCAGTGGGGGTGGAAGGCGTTATAATTGACAATTTGGCAACGTGGTGGAATTTCCGCCAGGCTTGGGTCCCGAGACATGACCTGGTCAATGGCCACTGGGTCCGGTCTCGGGGCCCTTTGGAAATTCATGTTTACGATACCTGCAATTAGCCGTTGAGGACGAAAAAACTCTGATAGATACCATTTAGAGGATTAGAAGTGAACCAACTCTCAAAAACGGCTGTACCGACTTGCGTATCATAAACGTGCCAGCAATTTGCATTTCGGACATGGTCCCTTGTACAAATTGCTAGCCACCCGAAGAGCCGTATAAAGAAACAGAAAAGAAGTCAAAAGAAAAAAGGGAAAGCTGAACCGTGGGTACGCTGCGGAACATGGAGCCATTTCGGAAACTTTGAAAAAAAAAATAAAGTTTACCATGATGCACGTTGTTTGACGCCACGCTGATACCATAGACACGCGAACATTTGCCGCGCATGCGTACTGGCGACCGGGGTCTTTCGGAATTTTATCATAAAATACAGTATGTCCACTTTATTTCAGAACACGGAAACATCTCGAAAACTACGAATGGTACAAACAAATATTTCAGGCAAAAGTTATAAGGTACAGAGAGCGACATATTGTTCTGGTATTTTTTTAATTTTGCAATGACCTTGAACAGCCCAGTAAAGGTCATGTTTAAGTTTTTAAATAGGAACGTATATTTTTGATTATGTATTCTTGTAGCTGACACCGAAACGTTTTCAAAACACTGTACTCTTGTGACTTTTGTGTGAATTATTGTCGAGATATCAGCTTTCAAGTTTTACATGTCGCCAGTATTAGCGTTACCCGATGTACAGTGAGTAACTTTAATATTCGGACACCACAAAATTTTTACTTCGTCGCAGATATAATATTAAGATATTGTGTCTAGTTAACAGTATTATAAATTTTATTTACATAATTTAAAATATTTGTTAAATAATACGTTTTAAGTGATGTTGGAATCGGGGGAGGAAAGTTGACACCGATTATATGTATTTTACCAATATAACTTTTATTGTGCTTAGGCTAGTAACCCTTCGTTAAGAGATCCCAGCCGGCGGCGATGATTCTGATTATGGTCTTCGCTTTGTCCGCGATACGACACCTTACCACCTCGATGCAATCACGGTAATTAGAGACGCCGGATCTATCCTGTTACCCGGGATAATTGTATTCCTAACAAGTGTCGGATTCCGAGCTGTTCCGAGTGATCTGTAGGTTTGTGTGTTCTTTGTGTTTGATCGTTCGAAGTGTTCGAGGATCCTTCAGACTGCGGAGTAAGAGTGTGTTTCCGTTATTGGTCGCTTGATTTTTCTTCCGAGCTCGACTGTTCGCTCTGTGTTTGAATTTGGCGCCATTGCTTCTTGCATGGGGAGGCAATTTGCGAGGAATTAGTGCACGCGAACGAACTCGCGTTCGCTCTTTCTCACCTCTCTTATTCGCCATGATATTTTTGCTATTGGTCGTTTCATTTTTCTGCCAAGTTCGGCTGCTCGCTGTGTATTTGAATTTGGCGCCATTGCTTATTCGCGCGCAGCGGAAATTTGTGAGGAATTGGTGCACGCGAACTTATTCGCCACGATAAAGAAATTTGTAAAGGTACTGTGGGAAGCAGGCATGATAAAAGAAATCGCGAACACGGACAATCGAATCTTCTCGATATATTTACCGGCTGATCGGCACGTGCCGGCAGGCTTAAGTATGTATACGTGTATATGAGCGCTGACGTACCGCGACCGGGCAGGCAAAAACGCTAACCCAAATATGCCGAATTTAGAAAGCAATTAAGTACACGGATAATTAAGAACCGGCTCGGTGTATTTACCGGCTGATCGGCACGTGTCGGCAGGCTTAAGTGTGTGTGTCTATGTGAGCATTAGCTCCAAGAATATTCTAGCGTAACGCGATCAGGCAGGCAAAAACCCTAGCCCGAATGTGCCGGGTTTAGAAAAAATGTCTGGAACGTTCGGGCTGGGCTAGGATAAAAGCACGTGCCCGCGACACGTGAAAACAGTCGCAAAGCAGCCGAAAATCAATCCGGAAAGAGTCTGTCAGTCTGTCAGTTTGGAGTGAGTCTGGAAGAAGTCTGCAAGAAGTCTGCAAGAAGCCACGATACGTTACGATACGAACACGCCACGATACGATACGATAAGGCCTGTGTAGACGCTACGAACTAGTCTTACTCGTCGTGTTATCTCTGTAACTAACGGAATGGACACCTTAATAAAACCCTATTCCTACAATTTTTATATTTTTCTGTTTTATTATTTGAGGCCCCGGCAGATTGCGAGGCCCTAAGCTGTAGCTTTTTTAGCTTATACGTAAATCCGGCACTGCAAGTAGGAAGGGGCGAAGTTGGGAAAAACCCAAAACGCGGCGCTCGACTTCAGGCCCTTTTCCTGACCGTTGATTGGTCGGAAACAAGCTACCAAAACTTGTATAAAACCCTGTACCCACACAAAACCCGTTAAATACTCTTAATCAGTATAGTTGGAATGACACCTGCTCAACCTAAACATTTAATAAAAGAAAATCAACCACATTTCTGGATTCTACTCTTTTGACAACCC